AACAGAGAACAAGATGACGACTAACAAGCGTACAACATTTTGGGGTCCAAGAAGCATGATGACCATGGCTTTATATGACATAAACTCCTCCACAACCCCGAGACAAGTGTTACGTCACATGTGTGAAGACAAGTGACCAGGGTAAGAGGTGGAACCAGGTCTCTAACTTGGCTTCTGCCACCAGGAATTCCATGTCTGTGCCATGACCACATCTTAGGAAACCTTCCCTCTAAATGTTAATAATGGCAACTGCAAAATGGGAATTACCATCGAATTAAGCATTTATTGGTAGAGAAATAAGTTGTTTTAACTGCATTCTATACTAAATAGCATAAACATTGAAATTATAATTGCCATGATGATTATTTACTGAATGCAAAGAAAGAAATGACACTGGAACAAAAGCATACAAAAGTTACAGGCAAAGAGGCTGAAGGTGCCTCCCAAGGGAAAAGCCTGTTTGTGCAGGTTTGAACAACCAATCCAGTCTCTGTAAATAATTAACCTACCTAGTGTTTGGCCTGGCAATTTTGCAATAGTTTGAGGCACTCTAATGTTTGTACTACATACCTAAATGTCCAAGGGCAAACAGGCAAAGTCTAGAAAGTTCTGTGTTTTGCTAGGGTTATGGGAAAGCAGGTGGCATTTGTTGTTACCTATCTGCAGACAAACATGGCAGTGGACTCCATTTGGGCAACCCTTTCTTGTGACACGCATGCACAAAGATCCGCAGACTTGCCCGGGCTACCCCAAGGCCCAGGAATCCATTCTAGCCCTAAAATTACCGGTATGCTCACTGGGCATTGCTAGGGGGTGTCACTGGATGGAGAACAACATGGCAGGGTCAAATATTGCATTTAGTAACATTTAAAAGAACACCAAAGCCAAGAAAAAGCCATGTCAACCCAGATGAGAGAAAATGTCTCTCCCAGAAGTATCCCTCAACTGGAAGAGTCAGAGCCAAGGCCCAACTCTGCTGTCTGAGAGAGGAGCCAATCAGGCACCCTAGTAAATAACCTAGAAACCCTAGATCTTATGGGCCCGGGCTGTTCTAATCGTTCTAGCTCATCCCAAGTCCATTCTTCTCAAGCTCTGAGTAGGTTTTTGCGACTAAAAGATCTGAACCCGAGAGGCCAGCTGACGGCTGGGTCAACATATCCTCTCAGACCAGCCAGCTGGATCACCCTGGATAGCCAGCCGGAGCCAAACTAAGACCAAATTCAGCAACACAGCCCATCATAAAGAGGCTCTTTTCCCATTACCTGGTGTGGCTTTAGCAAACTGCAGCTGGCCAGATCTCCCTTCTAGGGCAAGTATGTGCTGTATCTGCAGTCCATTCCCCACCGGTTCTGTCCCAGGGAGGCCAGTCCAAGGACTCTACCAACAGGGTCCTGGGCCTCCTACTTCCGGCCAGGTTTGGCCAATGGGGAGCAGGAGCAAGGGCCAGTAGCGAGGGAGAAGAGCATTCCCGGTTCTTCTTGGCATGGTTGCTGCGGACTGGCTGTGTCTCTCGGCTGAAGGTGGTGAATCCTGTCAGGCAGCCCTCCCTTTTCCCTGATTCTAGGGCCCATTCCCACTGTGGCTGCCCCAGGTGCCACATCAGCCTGGGGCACTCCTGTGCCTGCCCCTGTCTTTCAAATAGTCCAAGCATCATAAGGGCTCCTGAACTCACCCCCTTAGAGTGTGCCCTCTGCTGTCAGCCCAGGCTGTGATACATGCACAGCCCCCTGGAGACCCACTCTGCACCCTCACTTGATGGCCAACTGTGGCCAGACTCCATACGACCACTTCTGAGGTGCCCTCCTGCCAACCCCTGACCATGCAAGTTGCTTTCCTCAGGGCCCCTGTGGGTCACAGGACTCCCACCTACCTCCTGGGCTCTGTGTCACACTCCACTGTCAGACCACCTTTGGAGACAGGGATCAGGGCCTATCGCCCTCCCTTTGCAGCTCTACTGCCCACAGGGGGCCTGGAGGGAGCAATGGCCCCTGTGATTGGGCTCTGACTCCTCTTACAGATTTTGCTGAAGAACTCCCTCTTCCTGCCATGTTCCTTGTCCCTTTCCCCTCATCCCCATCCCTCATCCTCCCGTAGCTGAATCTGAGCATCGCACAAGGCCCAGAGAAACACTGGCTCTTGTCCAGTATGCCTGGCTTTGCTTCCTCACAAACCCACTGTGGCCGCAGTCAGGCCTTCTGGTGTGAGGACTCACTTCCCGCCACAGCCTGCATTCCTCTGGTGATAACTCAGATTCAGATGTTGATACGGTTTGGGTACCTGTCCCCGCCAAATATCATGCTGAAATGTAATCCTAGTGTTGGAGGTGGGGTCTGGTGGGAGGTGTGTGGGTCATGGAGGCGGATCCCTCATGGCTTGGTGCTATCCTCACGATAGAGTTTTCACCATAGTCAAGAGTTCTCACACGATCCGGTTGTTTTAAAGTGTGTGGCACCTTCCCCCACAACTCCTTGCTCCTGCTCTCACCATGTGACATGTATGTTCACACTTTGCCTTCTGCTATGAGTAAAAGCTCCCTGAAGCCTTCCCAGAAGGCAAGCAGATGCTGGTGCCTGTTGGTACGGCCTGTAGAACTGTGAGCCAATTAAACCTCTTTTCTTTATAAATTACCCAGTCTCAGATATTCCTTTATAGCAGTGCAAGAACAGCTTAATGCAGATGTATTTATGCCCCCACCAGGGTCCCCTCCCACTCCACAGCAGGAATTAGGGCCTGTTGTATCCAGACAGCCCTGCTGACAGCGAGCCAACCACACAGCAGCACTTCCCCAGGAGGGGTCAAAGGGCGAGGATTCTCAGCAACCCCTGCCCACTCCAGAACCTGGAATTCAGGTATGCAGTGAAGACAGCGCCAGATCATGAGTCCCTTGGGAATCTGGGTCTTCTCCACCTGCAAGGCTAGCTCAGAGCTCCATCTAGTAGGATACAGGAATGTCTTCTGCCCAGAACAGGCACTAACTTAATACACAGGCTGAAGAATAAATGAAATGGGAAAATCCACAGACGGGGTAGACTGGTAGTTGCCTAGGGTTTGGGGGTTGAGGAGAAATGGGGAGTGTTAACTGATGAGGATGGGTTTCTTTTGACAGAGATAAAAATATTATAATATTGATTATAGTAATGGTTGCAGAACTGTGAGTATACTGAAAACCACTGTTCACTAAACAAGTGAATTGTGTTATGTGAAATATATGTCAACAAAGCTATTATACAGTGAAGGAAAAAATAAGTCATGTTTTTCACCAAGCATTTGTGAACACATGTATACAGATACACATACAGACTGTGTGTGTGTGTGTGTGTGAGATGTATGTATATGTTCTTTCTTTTGCTTCCTCAAATCAACAACCTAATTTCCATCACTTTAAATATGCATCCTGCCCTGTCATGCTGACATAAACCCACTGAGATGCTTCTGTCTTTTCCAGATGAATAAAACTAGAGGAAACAACTGTGTTCATTTTTTTTCATGAGTGATAACTTGCCTCCGGATGCTCCTCATGCCTACCCTTCACCCTACTCTAACCCTCCCTCCCAGAAAGAGATCCCCCAAAAAATGGCTCACCACAGAGTAACAGGCTGCCAGACAAAGGGCTGCTCAGCCTCACCAAGCACCTACTTTGCACAAGGCCTGTGGCCAACGACATCAGGAAGAGAATTTCAGTTATTTCTTGCACACCTGGATTAGGGTTCTCACCCCATTTTACTGCTGAAGCAGAAAGACAGCTTGACCTATCACTGGTTAAAGTCACACAGACCCTACATGGAGTTGCCGGAATTCAGGACGAGGACTACCTGATGCCAGGCCCAACCTTTGTCACCCCTGCTACTGCTGACCAGGGTTTTGGTCACTTAACTGCATGGCTTGATGCCCAGTCAGCCTCAGGAACAAAGACAAGAAATTGACAGGCTTCCCGACTCCAGCAGCAAGCCTGGTCCTGCTCCCACAGTGAGCCCTCAGCTGGTCCTGGCCACGCTTCCTCCTGGCCACCCTCTGGGCTGTGCCTGTCTCGTGTCCGCACCCCAACTCTGGGCAGTGCCTGCCTTCAGTACTGGCTGCAGAGTAGGCCTAGGGTGAAAATGCTCCTGTCCTGCCTGGCCCCAGACACAGCCCTCTCCACGGGTTCAGAGCCTACCCAAAGGTCACACAGATGGCAGCTAGATCCCAGCTCAGCCACCTTCTGGCTGCCCGACTCTGGCATGTTACTTTAGTGGCCCCTGCTTTCTTGTCTGTAATTCCAGCTCCTAGGCAGTGCTGTTCTGAAGACTGAATGAGATGAAATAGCTCCAACAGTGAAGAGCTATTCTAAAGGTGTCAAAATAAGACTATCTTTTGCTAAAGCTAATATTCATCAGCCTTCATTCCCGATTTTCAGGGGAGGAAACCTAGGAGGAGCAATTTTCCCAGGGTGAAACAGTTTGCAAATCCCACAAATGGGATTTGAACCCAGGTAACCTGGTCCTGAATGCTTGTCCGGAGGCCTGTGGAGTATGGAGTTGGTGTGAAGATGCTCACACCAGCCCCCACACGCTGCCTTGGCCCCTGGCCATGGGGTGGACACAGGTACGCCCCTGCTGTGGCTCTGCGGCAGGAACTCAAGGTGAATATCTGGCAGTCACTGCCAGGATCATGTCCAAACAGAAAGCTACCTACTGACTTCAGGAAAGCGTTACTCCTCTCCAGCCTGGTACCCAGATGTTCGGGACCTGAGGCCAGTTCACATGTTTGCTACTCCATGGAGTCTCCCAAAGAGGGGTGCTTATGCCTCTTGCGTCAGAATTTCCCACAGGGTACATGTCAAAATATAGACGTCCAGCCCCCCACCTGCTGACCTACTAAATTTGGAGTACGTGGTGAGAGTTTTGGCATTTTCTTGTGTTTCCCAATGACCCCAATGAGACCTGCTGCCACCACCCAGCCCTGCAGAGGCTGAGCCCTTCTGCACCACCACTGCACACACTGTTCAGGGAAGCGGGACTCACTGCCTCGAGAAACAGCCGCACTCTGACCATCAGGCAGGTCTCCATCACATGCACCCCACAACCTTCTGAACTGTCTTCCCACAGGGCGTGGCTCTCACTCCCTGCACCCCCCAGCACAGCTTTCCTCCATCCCCGGACAGTGCCTGGCCTTGCACGCTGCTGAGGAGGGCCCTTCGAAGGCCATACGGTGTGTGGGTGTCTGCAGCAGCCCCCGCCAGATGCTTGCTGGAGGCTGCTTCCTCCTCCAAATCCCCCACCGCCAGAAAGCAGAAAGGGCTGGTCTTGCCTGTGCGGCCCAGAGGTAGTCCAGCCTCAGCCTGATGTCCACCTGCCTGGCATGCAGGGCCAGCGCACAGGAGAAGAGCAGGATGGCCACAATTGGCTCATAGCTGCGCCCGGAGACGGCACCACCCCTGGGGGAAGATGAGGAAGAAAAGCTAAGTGAGTGCCGAGCTTCCAGGGCAAGACTCTGCCACCAAACCCAAGAACCGTTCAGAGTGACCCTCAGGTGGTGACACCCAAAAACAGCTTGCTGGCATTTACCCTGGCCAAGAGTCACTTGCTAGAACTTGGGTTGAAGAGAAACTGTCACCAAACTAAAAAAATTGTATATAATTCATCTTGACTAGTTCTGAAATCAGAAGCTTATAATGCATATCTATACACACAGATTCAGTAGCACTTCTGCTTAGGCCTTTTTCTCTAGGAGCCACACACTTACCCAGTCCTGGTATATCCGCTGAGCTCCAGTACGAGGATGTAGGACGTGGTGAGCCCGGACAGCAGGATCATTTTTGGCAAGGAAGACACCCGAAAAAATATGGCTAGCGGGAGGGTGCCCACCAGGCAGCAGAGCAGGGCATGGTGCGTAGACTCGCAGGGCAGGGTGGGCAGGGCTGTGCGCTGGCCCCCGGATGAAAGGACCACCAGGGAACTGTTGGGCTTGGAGCTCCAGGCCCACGGCAGGCAGCCCACCTGGGAAGGGAGGGGTCACAGGGGCTTAGGGGAGGGCGGGTGAGGACCTGCAGCCTCTAAGCATGGTCAGGTGTCCCTCTTCAAGCAGGTCTCCCAAGGTTTTGCTCTGAGACCCACCCCCAGTGCCACCACACCAAGCTGCAGACCTCATGGCAACTCGCAGCACTTAAAGGCTCCCCATTGGTTGCCAGAGCAGGCAAGAGGCTCCAGGGAGGACCAGGTGGGATCAGCCCTGCCTGCTCCCCAGCCCAGCGCCTCCAACCTGCTACTCCTGCCCCCAGTTCCAACCTGTTACTCCTGCCCCAGCTCCATCCTGTTCCTCCTGCCACCAGCTCTGTCCTGTTCCTCCTGCCCTCAGCTCTATCCTGTTCCTCCTGCCCCCAGCTCTGTCCTGTTAATCATGCCCCCAGCTCTATCCTATTCTTCCTGCCCCCAGCTCTGTACTGTTCCTCCTGCCTCCAGCTCCATCCTGTTACTCCTGCCTTCTTCTATCCTGTTACTCCTGCCCCACTTCTATCCTGTTACTCCCACTACAAACTCCATCCTGTTACTCCTGCCCATTTCAATCCTTTCACTCCAACCCCCAGTTCCATCCTGTTCCTCCTGGCCCAGCTTCATCCTGTTACTGCTGCCCAGCTCCATCCTGTTCCTCCTGCCCCATCTCTGTCCCGTTTTTCCACCCCGCTTCTGTCCTCTGCACTGCATGAAGAAGTCAGGCTCCTTTCACCAGGGAGAGTTTCCATTTTCCCCTGCTAAGTAAAGTCTCTTGTTCCCTCGCTTCTCGGGGCCCCACGCCTGTTCCAGAGGTCTCTGCTGAACTCCCTGTCTCTGCAGCCCTGGGTCCTGGCCTCTGGGCTGGTCCTCCATGCCATGCCCTCTCCCACGCCAGTGCATGCTGCAAGCTGGAGATGCTCACCACACATCCTTGGGCTACTGAGTAGATTAAGACCACTATGAAAATACACAGGACAGTGCGAATCTGAATCGTCAGGCACCCTGGAAAACACTGAATAAGAAATGTTAATTAGAAAATACCCTCTGATTACCAAGGCGAGTCACGTGCACAGTTAATACTTCCTACAGTGGAATGTGCAGATGACCTGCAAGCTGCTAGGTCCACACCCGTTATTTACCCTCCTCACAGGTCTCTTGGCTGTTTTCATTTGTTTATTCTCCCAGGTGAAAAGCTTGCCAAAGTTAAAACAAGTCTTTAAATTACAAAGTCTTTAAATTACAAAGAATAATACTTCCCTTCCTTCCACCCGCATTGTAACTTTGATTGGCACTGAAGTTAACTGGATAGATTAACTTGGTATTTTCATTATATTGAAGTCTTCCATTTCAGAAATGGTACAAATTTCCATTCATTTGTGTCTTCTTTGATATGCTCTAAATAAATTTTATTATTTTGCTCACATAGGCTTTATAGAGTTCTTAAGTTATTAGAAATTTTATTTTAAATCTATTTATTATAAAGACATTTTGAAATCATCAAAAAGCGATTTCATGGATAAAAGTAAGAAGTCCTTTTTACACTTAACACTTCTGAAAGTATAAATATAACTAAAATTAATACCCACAGGCGCCTTACAGAAAACAACTCACCCTGCTAGAGTCCCCGACTAGCTGGGGTGCCCTTGGCGGGCTACACAGTTATTCCTTTAACCCCTACATGAGGTCAGATCATTACTATCTCTGCTCTACAGTTGAGAAAAAGGTGGCACAACTGCCACCCAGTCCAGTATCACTTCTTCTACGGAAAAGGACAGGGCAGTGTGTCCCAACTCACCCAGCTGGTGGGTTATGGATCTGGGATCCAGTTCTAGGTTTTCTAAGTCCCAAGAGACCACTGGGTATTTCACCAACCCAGTGGTCTCTGCTGATCTCAGAAGAACTGCTGCTCTGCAGCGGTGTGAGGCTCAAACACTTTACTGACCATGGCTCACCGCACTTCCCTCCCAGTCCCATCTTGGCCTCTGGGCAAGACGCGGGGGCAAGTCCTTGATCCTCACTGCAGCCTCCCATCATCTGCTTCCCCCACCTCCTCCTGGCGTGAGTTTGATGTTCTAAGGGAGGCCACCAGAGCCACTGGCAGGACCCCATGCAGGAGCCATACCACAGGCCTGGGAACAAGATCCTGCCATCTTTTGCAGGTAACTATTCTCCTTTTGAGAAATGCTCTTGGCTTGCTGCTGGGCCTAAGTAGAGCCTGAACCCTTACCTGTGGGCCACCAAGTTACTGTATGACCTGAGCTGCCCATCATGAACTGGGTGTTACCTGACCCACCAAGCCATAAAGTTAGGTGTGAACAGCAGCCCTCCATCATCCAATGAAAGTGCTAATATATATGATCAGCTCCGAGCAGACCCTTAAGGCACAAGTAAGTGACATGACAAAGTGGCCCCAATGACCATAGTCCACAGTCCTGCTACCCTGCCTTCTCTCTCCCAGCCTGCACCTATGGCCTCATGGGGAGCTCCCTCTGATTAGGTGACAGAGTAAGAGTAGCTCAGGCCTTGTGGTCGCTGCAACACTTCAGCCCATGTGACACAGCCCTGAGGGACAATGGTGAAGGGAAATCCTCCCAGTGGGCAGAACTTTGGGCAGTTGTCCTGGGTGGGCACTTTGCTTCCAAGGAGAAATGGCGAGATGTACAGTCATACACTGATTCATGAGCTGTGGACAACAGTTTGGTTGGATGGTCTGGGAGTTGGGAAAGACATGGTTGGAAAATTAGTGACAAGGGGGTCTGGGGAAAAAGTATGTAGATAAACCGCTCCGAGTGGGTGAAAAATGTTAAGATACTTTGTCCCATGTAAACGTTCACAAAAGGGTGACCTCAGCAGGGGAGAATTCAAATCCAGTGGATAGGACGACCCCTACTGTGGACACCAGTCACTCTATTTCCTCAGCCACTCCTGTCATCCCAATGGGCTCATGGACAAAGTGGCCATGGTGGCACTTCGGGAGATGATGTCACCTGAGGATGAGAGGGAGAAAAAGCAGGCACCATTTCCTGACAGTCTGCACTCACAGGGGCTAGAATGAAGCCCTTGGGCTGTCTCTGGTGGTGCTACACTCCCCTCTGTGCGGCGAGGCTCCCTTCCCCCCAACTTAAGGATCTCTGCCAAGGTTCTCTCTTTTCTTCAAAGCCATCTAGTTTAACTCGAGTATCATAACTGGAGGAAATCTTCCTTCCACCACCTCCCACCTTCCACACCTTGGCTTGGGGACCTATGATGGGATGTGGCCTCTACCCTAGCCAGCCTGGGTGCACGCAACACGCTCCTGAGCCTGTCCCATCCGCCTCCCTTAGAGCTCTAGGAAGACGAGAAGGAGGATAAGGAAAACGGGGCTTAAATGCAGGTCCGGAAAACAGGGCTTAAATGCAGGTCCGTGAGCACCAGGCCAGGGTGAGAGGAGTGCGAGCAGCTTATCCGAGGCACACCCAGCCACCTTGTGGACCACATCGTGCCCACGTCCCCAGGGTCCTGCCAAGGGCCTCTGAATGTGCCTGACGCCTTGACCTCAGCCTGCCCCACCTGCAGCACCCGGGGTCCAGCCAGTGTGCACCTCCCAGGCTTCCTCCTCTCCTCTGCCCGCTCCTGATATTCTCCAGCCCAGCCATCCAAACCTCAGCCTGCAACCCGGACAGAAAAAGTCCACATCCTGCCCCAGATATTCCCTTTCAACTCTCAGCAGGACCCTTGGGTCAACTCTGCCGCCCTCCACAGATGACAAAGACGGACTCTGCATGCCCTCCCCACTGTTAAGATGGACAGGATTAGGCACCTCCCCACCCTGATTCCCAGGATGAACTCCACCCACTGCCCCACCCCCACTCAGCCTTCTCTGTCTCATCTGACTTCAGAACACACCAACTGAGCGTGTGCTTGCCAGGCCCTGCTCCACAGACTGTACAAATGAGCTCACTGACTCCTCATGTCAAGCCAGTGAGGTGGGGGCCATCATCACCGCCATTTCACAGAGGGCAACCCTGGGCCCAGAGAACTGGAGCCCAAGCCTGGAGTTGGCACATCCCCGACGGATGGGGATGGGGAAGCCAGACAGGGGTGAAGATCCCAAGGGGCCATGGAGCTGCCACACTGCCCTGGGCACCCTGGCTCTGGACACTGTCAATGTCAGGGAGGGAAACATTTCTACTCAGCCTTCTTGGGGATGTGTTCTGGAACTAACTCTGTCTGCATGACCCGCCACATCCACTCAGGCCACAATGGCCTTCTGCTAGGTGGCCCTGACCTACCCCCTGCTGGCCTTCTGCAAACCTCCCTCACCTCCATCCCCACAGCCATTCGCACAGACCTCTTCCCCGGCCTAGGGTCAGCAGGGATGCTCAGAGCCCAGTGCAGACCCTGTGAACAGGAGCCTAAACACTTGTGATTCAATCAAACCCTGACCCAGTACACACTGGCTGTGAGCTGAATCCCCTCTCCTGTCCTAGCTGACAAGTCTGGGTGCTCAGTCTCCGCTCTGCTTCCTCCACATCAGCTGTAAGCACCACTGATGGCGCTCCCAGGAAAGCTGGACCCCCACTGCTTTTCGAGCCTGGCACTTCCAAACCGCATACTTAGGAAGAAAACGCTCTATGCTCGCTCACAGAAGAGGGTGAGAAGGGAGAGTGAATATTCAGAAGGGAAGGAGCTAGTGGCATCCAGGGCAGAGTCCACCAAGAGAACAGAACACTGGAACACAGAAGAAGCTTCATGGGATAACTGCAGGCTAGCCTCTTTTAATGTCGGCACCTGGAAGTATTCTGGCCAAAGTTCCCAGCCATGAGGGCAGCTCCCTTATTAACAAAAGGGAGATGATGTCTCAGTGCCCCACTTCCACAGATCATGTGTTTTTTAGAACCAAGGCTTTCTAAATTTGAATATTATTTTTATGGACAGATTGGGTGCAGATTTTGCTTCCTGTTTTCATGAGCACATCCCTTAGCCTGCCTGAGCCTGCTTTCCTCACATGGGGGAAAGGGGCTGACCCGTCTCACCACCTGGCTTGTGAGGTTCTCGTGGAGTCACAGAAAGCAGTGTACGTCCACTCACAAGAACCAGTATTCCTGGGCTGGGACCTCTGACCAGAGCTTTCCAGGCCGGTGCATTCCTTGGCTTCTGCTTTGTGGTCGCTCTTCTTGCCCAGTGGCTTTTCACATTTTCTGCATATCTTACACTATTTGTACACCATCGGGTAGGCACACTGGTTCCCACCATTGAGGACAAAGGAATAGGCTTTAAAAACTGTCATCCATCTGTCCTGCATTCACTTGAAATTACATGAAAAACAGCAATCTTACTTGAAGTGGTAAATTTTAAAATTTGCCAAACCAAATGTCACTTAATCTATAAAAGTCGAGGAAACAGGAATGAAGTTTTAATAGTTAGCATTTTTTAAATTTAAAAACTCAAGATAGTACCTATGAATAATGACAAAGTTAAATAAATGAAACTATATTTAATCTTTTCAAAAAGTTGCTGTTTTCAATAATTATGCAAAAATGACACTGGGTCTCCCAGAAGTGACACCCCGGGGTCGGCTGAGGGAAACGAGCCGTTTAGAAATGAAGGTGGGAAATGTGACGAAGGAATGAAGGCTTAGGAACTACAGAGTCCTCCCAAGTGAGCCACAGATAGTACAAGGCCGCAAAGCTCAGGTCTTTCCTGCAAAAGCCCACAGGACAAAGCAGATGAGGCATCAGGGCCCAGATAGCACAATGTTCCCTGGAAAACGTCACCCCTCTCCAAAGTCTGTGACATAAACGCAGAATAAACATCCCTCTTCTGTCCTGCTGCTAGACTCTCCATTCCAGAACAGGATCGGTATCTTGTGCTCATTTGTTTAATCAGTACCAATCACCAGTCTATTGTGCCCGCCGGGCATACTCCCAGAGGAGTGCATGTGCCTAGTGCAGAACTGGGTCTTCATGAGCATCTGCTATGTGAGCAGACTCTTTCTTCCTGTCGAGGCAGATAAGGGAACAGAACTGCCTCCCCCAGCCCACCCCATTCCACCCCATCCCACCCAGTGGGCAGGCAGAGGCCACCCACATACCTGAACCAGGTGAAGTGCAGGTAGAGGACACAGGCCACCCACATACCTGAATCAGGTGATATGCAGGTACAGGACACAGGACACCCACATACCTGATCAAGTGATATGTAGGTACAGGACACAGGCCACACACATATCTGAACCAGGTGAAGTGCAGGTACAGGACACAGGACACCCACATACCTGAACCAGGTGATATGCAGGTACAGGACACAGGCCACCCACATACCTGACCAGGTGATATGCAGGTAGAGGACACGGGCCACTCACATACCTGGACCCGGGTGATGTGCAGGTACAGGACACAGGCCACCAGGAAGCAGATGCAGAATACTAGCAGGAGCAGGACGGCCACACTCCTGGGGGACAGAAAACATGAGGGTCACTGATACGTGGGGATCAGGAGAGGTGGACCCAAGAGATGGCTGAGAATTGGCCCCTCCCTCCACATCCCCTGTGCCCTCAGGAGGAAGCAGCATCGTTAACCTGGATGCCTGCCACTCAGGTCTTTGGGGACTGACACAGCTGGTTCTCTTTTTTAGGAGAGGGCCTGCCACTCGGGTCTCTGGGGACTGACATGGCTGGTTCTCTTTTTTAGGAAAGGGCATCTGGGGTTCCTGAGTGAGAAGGGGGCCCCTCCTGAGTTGACCTCCCACTTCTCCTACCCCCACCGCAGAGATCTAGCTTAGGCTGAGAATCACAGAGCTTTTCTGGAAGCCTTTTTCCTCATGATGGAAAGACAGGAGTTTCCCCGACTTTGCAGAGCTATTCTCTAGCTGGGCTTTGTCTGGGAAGGACGTTTTTAGAAAACGCTTAAATCCCAAATAGGCCCATGAGGCAGGCTGCTGAGTTCAGTGTCTGTGGGCTGGGCAGGATGCAGAGCACCCAGGGCTGAGCTCCCTCCTCCTCCGCAGGTGTGGGGTGGCCTCCATGCGCTTTCAAACTCAGAGGAGGTAGTATTCCCGTAGGTAGCTTTTATTAAGAAATGAGTACGCCTGAAAGTAAAGTGGCAAGTACAGACCTAGTGGTGTCTTTCTTGCAAAAACATAAAAAACAAATAAAAGCTGCCAAACTCACATTGACTTATACGATGTTTAAATGTTATTTAAATTATTGTTTTTCTTCCTTTTAAGAGGTCACTTTTCCTGATTTTAAGTTTTTGAAAATAACATAGATCTAGAAGCCAATGAGCTCATTCAGTGCAGTTTCTTCTCAAAAGTTATTGTTATTATTATTATTATTTTTAGAGACAAGGTCTCACTATGTCATCCAGGCTGGAGTGTAGTGGTGAGATCATAGCTCACTGCAGCCTTAGACTCCTGAGTTCAAGGCATCCTCCTGCCTCTGCTT